TCTTCTTCTTCTTCTTCTTCTTCTTCTTCTTCTTCTTCTTCTTCTTTTTCTTCTTCTTCTTCTTTTTCTTCTTCTTCTTCTTCATAATGTACGCTATTAGCTAACTGAATTAATATTAAGAATGGGTCTGGGATACATAGGAGGAGGTAGGAAAGTTTTTTTTTCGTGTTTAGTCCCTGAGAATGGTCACATTGCGTCACTAATCAATGCACACTGCGGAAAACGTCATGCAAAAAAAGCATGTTATTTCTTGCTCAGTTGGAGACCATAATCAAATTTAATCATTATTTGAAGAGGCCCGTTATTTTCTCATAGAATACCCATTCTTCCCTTCTTTCTCTTTCAATATTAATTCACCCATCCATTCACATTTGTTTACTTTTTACTGGCTGAAAACAGACCTGCTCAGACCTGTTTTCCACGTGGAATAAGAAAAGAAAAACATTCTTTCTCTCCTCCTTCTGTTCCCTTTTCATCTCTAAGATAGTGCTGCTGTTGTTGCTCCCACTGCTGCGTCGGGTGCTTTTCCGATTTGGCAATGGCGTGCATAATAGCCGAAAATGTGAAAACATAAAAAAGATAACGTTAGATAAGATTGATCGGCCGTGTTGATCTACGTGTGTTTTTGGATTGTTTCTCAAACATAACAAATAGTAGGCCTTACGGAGAACTAGTTATTGACGAGTTGCGCGAATCAATTTACCTGTTATCTAATCATTTGTTTTGCTTTTGTTTTCTTTTTTCTCCCTTTCTTCCTCGTTCCCTCTTTCTGGTCTGTACTGGGAATAGGCCTAGTCGTGGTCCCGATGATGACTAGTGCACGGCGTATTATTATAGCTGTTTGGAACTGCGGATCACCTCCATCGGACAGCCAGCTCATTTCATTCCCGAAGCTGGTGTAACACTCAGCAATCGACAGAAAGACGGGACGAAAGAAGAAACTAAAGCTACATTTATATATATTATTATCATTATTGAAAATGAAACAAGGAAAAGCCACAGGGCCAGATAATATTCCAGTTGAAGTGATGGTCGCGCATGAAGAACTAGGCACTGAAATAGCAACAAAGGTCCTAAATGCTATTTATGACAACGGTGAGATCCCAGAAGATATGATGAAGTCAGTTTTTATAGCTTTACCTTAAACACCATGTGCCACTGAGTGTGATATGCATAGATCAATTAGCCGTATGAGTCATTTAAAAAAAATATTGCTGCACTTAATAATGGGAAAATTGAGAAAAAGTGTAAGACCAGAGATATCTAAAACGCAATTCGCTTTGTTCCTGACAGAAATGCTATATTCACCGTAACAATGTTAATGGAAAGATGTATTGAAGCACAGAAAGATCTGTATTTATGCTTCATATATTATTCAAATGCGTTCGATAAAGTTAGACATGACGAGCTATTTAAGATACTAGAAAAGCTAGACATAGATGGAAAAGATTTAAGTATTATCAGAAATTTGTACTGGGACCAAAATGCTGCTGTACGAATTAATGGAGGATACAGTGAATATAAGCAGATTAGGTGAGGAGTGAGGCAAGGATGTATTATGTCACCAGACCTCTTTAACATGTACAATGGAACAATCCTTAGAAACATAGAAAAATGTCCTGGCCTCAAAGTAAATGGAGAAAATATTTATAACATCGGGTATGCAGATGACAAAGTTTTAATATCAGGCTTCGAAAAGGACCTTCAATTGCTTCTAGATACTGTTGTAAAAGAAAGTGAACGTAAAGGATTATTGTTGAATGTAAAGAAAACAGAATGCATGGTAATATATATTTAAAAAGCAGCAAATCCTAGTTGTAATCTCATTAGCAAAGGTGAAAAGATCAAACAAGTCCAACAATTTAAATATCTAGGATATATGATAACATCTGATGCCAAATCTTCCACAGAAATAAAAAGGAGAACTGCAATGGCTAAGGCTAGTTTCAATAAAATGAGCCCAATCATGAGAACTAGAAACATCTCAATGAACACCAAAATGAAAGTCCTGAAATGCTATGTTTGGTCAACCCTTCTATATGGCTATGAATGCTGGACAATCACTATAAAGACAGTGAAAATAAAATAGAAGCAACAGAAATGTGGTTTCTTAGGAGACTGCTAAGGGTATCGTGGAAGGAAAAGAAATCAAATGAGGTAGTGCTCGACGAAGCCCACGTGGGACGCTCAATGTTAAAAACAATCAGGAAACGACAAATGCAGTTTTCGGGACACCTGAATAGACATAAGGGTCTTGAACATCAAGCTCTCACTGGCAAAATTGAGGGCAAGCGAGGCAGGGGCAGGCCCAGAACAACATACTTAGGGAACCTAAACAAATGGGTAACAGGGAAAGATCAGGGAAACGTAGCTTTTTTAGAGCATCCGAGCAAAGGAATGAATGGAAAACCATGATCGCTTATGTCTGTCGCAGATCTGGCACTGGATGATGATGATGATGATGATGATGATGATGATGATGATGATGATGATGATGATGGTTAGGCTCTCGGACTCGCAACCGTAAGGTCGTGGGTTCGAATCCTGTCAGGGACCCGACGTTGTGTCCTTGGGAAAGGCACTTTACACGAATTTCCCTCACTTCACCCAGGTGGGAATGGGTACCCGGCTATAGACAGCGAAAGATCTTGTCAGTTTGTTAGTGTTTGAGCGCTTAATCGGCTGCTTGCACTGTATGCTTCCCGGGAAGCTGAGAATGTTTCGGAGTGTTCTATGGTCTGCTGGGGTAATAATATAGTGTAAAGCGCATAGAGCCTGCTGTTGAGCGGGGATATGCGCTATAAAAATGCTATCTATTATTATTATTATTCAAAGAGTGATTACATCTGGCAATTTCACAAATATGATAAATCATGTTCTATCACCATATAGGCCCCAATCGAGGGGGTAAAAGATAGTTTAGCGCCTCGGCCCCAATGGATGAAATAATAATATTATTTTTTTTCTTTAACATGCACAGGAGAAAACTCTACGCCCGAAATCTACGGAATATTTCAAGGGTAACGTCCCGTACTTTCTTCCCGCGAGAGTTACCTATCCTGGTATGTTGACAAACAAACAACAGAGGAACAGAATGGAAATGCAAAGTCTGTATTCACTCCGGGAAACGAATCCGCTTGAACCGTAACTTCTAGCCAAAGCTATTTTTGGGAAGAAAGAAAAAATGTGGCTTGATTGATTGAACACGTCGGTCCTTTTCTGGTAACTAGATTTCTAGATCTAATCTAGTGATTATTACTTTAACTTTAAGTATCAAGTGAAGGAGTCTAAGATGCCCTGGTCACACCGATAAATCGTATCATATTTTTCATAGGAACCATCTGTTTCTGTTACAGTTACACACATTCCCATTATCGTCCAATTCTCTTGCGATTGGTCATATAATAGGCCTACAGTCAAACCTGTGTAAGACGGCCAGCCATTGTCAAGGAGAAAAGTGGCCGTATAAGACAGGTGGCCGTCTTAGGCAGGACTGATCAAGAGGAAGAAAACAAACCATTCCCATCTAAGGCCTCAATCGAAAGTACCCCATTGTTGTCTTTGTTGCTGTTTTTGGTTTATTTGCATTTTGTTTGTAAATTTTATTTTGAGGTTGATTTTGCACAAATGTGACAATAAAAAGAAATGTATCAGACAAGGAACACCGAGTGCCATGTTAAAACAAACACATGGGTCGCCACCACTCGGAGAACGAGGGACGCTTCTGTAACAAGTTCATGTTGACGTCCTTTGTTACTTTGACTTTGTTACAGACTGGGTAAACAGTGACCACTCATCTCACTTACGATTTGTGTATGAGATCTGGGCGGGGCTTATGGGTTATGAGAGATCACACGCTTACCTCACCAGCAGCTGAAAATTGGTAGCTATTGGTAAACAGTGGGAGGAGCTTACTCGACATGATCGGTTGGAGGGACTACCTAACAACAACGACAGGTGATTGAATTGACGGCACGCCCACAATGCCAGGGGCCAATGCACAATTTATGACAAAACGTAATGGAGTCACTAAGGTGGCCGTCTAAGACAGGTGCTATTGCTTAGTGTGATAGGGGTTGTGTGTTAAAATATGGTGGCCGCGTTGGACAGAGGTGCCCGTTTTACACAGTTAAATTATATAGAAAAAAGGCAAGGGGGGAAAAAGAAAGTGGCCGTTTGTACTGGTGGCCGTTTGTACTGGTGGCCGTCAGCGCAGGTTTGACTATATTATGACCTTATGCAGTTGCGAGCGCTGTAAATCCTCACTAAAACTTAAAGACTTTCCATTCTTGTGTCAGCTGTGTAGATCTATAGTATAAAGTAGTAGATCTATAGTATAGGTATAGGCCTATTTCTAGTCCATTCCAATTCCAGTCTCTTTCTACAACAGTGATTTGCTTGCACTCTTTTTGTAGATTAAATGTGTAGATTTTTTATGGGCCGGCTCTAGACTCTAATTTCTCTGAACGTTCGAGAAAATTTAAACTTGAACTTTATTTACCATTTCGGCTGGATTGTACTTTACCGGACCACCCGTCTCGGCCCGTGATTACTACGCATGCCTAGCCTAACTACGCACTCATAGTACTCTACGTGTGGACAAAAGGCAAAAGGTAGTTCCGCGGGCGACTTCGCGCAGGCACAGTGCAAGTCAACGGCGACTGGTGAGGCGAGGTGAGCGAGAGGTGGTGGTTGAGAGTGGGCAGGGGAATTAACTTTGATCGACCACCGTGTATCATACCAACAGGAGGGAGGGAGGGGGGTTGAGGGGGGGCTTGCCCCCCTGGAAATATTAAAGAAAACACACAAATGCGAAACAATAACATGAGCGGAAAGTCGTGTTTACCCATCAATGTAACAACTGTGGGGGGAGGGGGGGTTTCAGGGGGGCTAGCCCCTCTGACAACAATAATTTAAAGACACACACACACACACACATATAAACAATAACATGAGTGGACAACGAGGTAGATACTCGCCAAGTCGCGAGCAGGGCTGAGGGGGTTGCAATTATGCAAATGAGCTCTTGTGCGCGGATCTCTAGCCCTCCATTGTACTTTGCCGGACCAGGAGTAGGCCAAGCCAGCAGAGTCGCGAGCAAATCAGAATAGTGAACCACGTGATTAGATTGACCAATTAGCCTCAAAGTGTCAGGGTCGTGGGTCAAAGGGTACGGTGATGACTGAAAAACCCGGTAAGAGACGTCAGTCGATTGTTGACGGTCGAAGGTTGTGGACGTAGAAAACTGAGCAGGAGAGTGAGTAGGGGAGCTCAGAAACGAAGAATAGCGGGCCACTAGGCACCAGGGGCACCATAGCGAAAGTAGCTCCGACCTGTGGTCCGGTAAAGTACAATCTTACCTTTATTTCTCCGAACGGTTTCCGTTCTCGAGATTTGTTGACAATAAGCGAATGGAGTGGCCCATGTGTGTGAGTGTGCATGTGTGTGTGTGTGTCAGTGTGTGTGTGTAAGGTGTGAACATGGGGGGGGGGAGGTGGAGGGATTTTTTACATGAAGGATTTTAGTTTTTGCTGGGTGACTAAGTGCAAAATAGGTTACTGTCGAGGTCGAGCTGTCTTGTTTTCTCACTGTACCTTTTGAAGGTATTTTCGAATGAAGTATAGTCAGGGTACGCTGTCCCAACCAACTGAAGTATCTGAACAGACATTTAAAAATCTCTAGATCTAGGGAATTTGATGCAAAAAATGCTTCCTCCCAGTCCTCGCAGAATGGCAGAAGGAAAGGATGATGCCTAAATGTGGCAGATAACCAAAAAATCTGGAGATCAGAAACCGTTTGGAGAAATAGAGTTAAACTTTTTTTTCCCGAGCGTTCGGAGAAATAGTCACTTCGTTTTTTTATGCCGCCATCAACACAACTTAGATCATTCAGAGATCATGGGTTTCCAACTCTGTCAGGCCAACCTGGGCTCAGAAGAATTTGAATCTGGATACAACATCCCAGTAGAAAAACGGAGATACTTGATAAAAATGTCTCCCCACGTGGGAATCAGACTCGGCTCTCCTTCATTCAACAGCGTAACTCCTAATCATCGTTACAATACAACACAGATGCAGGTGCTTACTCTCTGTGTGCTGTTACTGAACAAAAGAAAGAGGCTAAACCTGGACATTTGTAAGCTCTTCATTCACCCTCTCTCTTCATAATTTATGTTACGTGTTGTTGTAGGTCTAGTGTTTGAAATTTTCCACAGGCACTTGTGGGTCTGTACGGGGGCTGTCCCACGGAAAACCGTAAAAGGTCCGTAAAAGCAAAAATCTTTGTCCTATTATAATAAAACTGTAACACATCATACCTCAACATGTGCTTTATTTCTCAATGTAATCACCATCCCGCTGGACACATTTTCCCATCGCTGGATCTGGGAGAAGATACCCTCCCTGAAGAATCTTTCGTCAAGGGATTTCAACCAATCGTTCACAGCTTCCACGAAGTCTTCGTCGTCGGTGAATCGCTGTCCAGAAATATGGCGTTTCATTGGTTCAAAAAAGGGATAATCTGACAGGGCCAAGTCAGGACTGTGAGGGGGGTGTAGTAGAACTTCCTAGCCGAACCTTTGGAACCAGTCTTTCGTGACGTTTGCGGTGTGTGGCGTTGTGTTGCCATGCTGCAAAATGACCCCGCTGGTCTTTTTCGGCCCCAACCCATCAAGTATCAAGCAGAGACCTTTCAATAGTGCAGCTCATCAAACTCTATCCTATAGACAGTCGACTTTGAAATGTTTAGCGACTCGCAAATTTTGCTAATTTTTAGGCGCCTGTCTGTTTGAATAAGTTCGTTAACGCGACTCTTGTTGTCGTCAGTCTTGGCAGAACGACAAGATCCTGGGTAAACTTTGTCATTGACATCAGAGTGCCCGGCTTTGAACTTACTACATCACTCAATCTGTGACTTTGCCATTACTTTCTCCCCATAAACTGACTTTATTTCAGTGTGTATTTCAAAAGTTTGAGACCTTTTGCGGTCAGAAACCGAATGACAGAAGACCTCACTTCTCCCTTTGACCAATTTTCCAAGGGGGTAGCCATCTTTTGAGAACTGCTGTGCTCGTTTGGTTTGTGCGATGCTCATGGTGCTCAATCGGGAAATTTCTAAATGATTGTTTTACAAGTGTGCGTTTACAGAATGTGAAAATATTGAATAGTTTTCAAATTACAGCCAAATTCCGGTTTTCCGTGGGACAGCCCTCGTACATCTCAATAAAAATCAGAACAGTTAATTTTTCTTTAGACCAGTGTTTGTCAACCTTTCTCTTACCAGGGTGACATTTAAACAGCCTAAAATTTTCTTTCCACCACCCAACATGTACAGTAGGTAGCCTCTGTCTATGATGCCATGGCTTATGATCATGGTTTGCTTTAAAATTCTGCTGTTTTAAGAAAACATAACTTTTTTCTACACAGAAGACATCCCTTAAATCCTGCTCTGAAGATATTTGGCTAAGATATAATGGCATTCCAGATCATAATTTACTTAAAAGTAACAAAAACCTGGGCATATGCAACCGATTTAATCAAACAGGGAAAATTTGCGGTCATTGTACTGCCTGTCACTTTACAGATCATCCACTCTCATGAATGCGATCACATCTCAGATGTAAATTTTAATAATAAGTTGTTTGCCCCAGACTGGATCACACTGAGATCAATGCACTTGTTTTCCCCAAAAGTCACAGATGCTGCATTTTGATCCTACTGCTTGAACTTTGTTCACACTGTTGGTGGATAGGGTCTGCAAGGCCACATCAGACAGGAGCACATGGAATTATGAACTCTTTGATGCTTTTGTTTCCCTGACCTTGGTACTTGTCTTTCAGCTTTACACCTGAATTTAGGAAACATACTCGGAGACTGTCGGATTGTCTCTGTGTTATGTCTTCTATAGGGTCATTTGTTGGCCATGAGCCTACCTTTTGTTCTTTGAATTTCAGTTGATGTGATCACTACAGAATAATGTGTTACGACATGGGCAGAGAACTTGGTCAGTGAAGGAAAGTCGTAAATTATGGACAGGTTAATGGGAGGAGCAATGGGATTGACCTGGATCATAAGGCTCACAATTGGATAAGTAAAAAGGGCATGCCTCATCAACTTGAGAAGAGTTCCATGTGAATTGTCATTCTCTTTGCTCGCCATAAAGTAGTCACTTCATTTCAAAGTATGGGGAGATCATTTTACCAACTGGGGTTTTGACCATGAGTC